TTGGTAAATGTGGAGGACACTCACTCTGACAGATTTGGATGCTGCGCTGGTGCCGCCGTTAAAAAAACAAACCTACATTCCACTATAATCGATTATGGCGTACTCTTCTACGATGCAGAATCGTTCATGTCCGCATCCGGATGCATCGATTATTTGATTATTTTCCTCAGCTCTACAACGCGCCCCTAAGAGGTTGAGCCAGATAAGAGATTTGAAGCAGAAGTGCGTAGGCGTGCAGCATAACTGTGTTAAAGAATTCTTTCTCAAAGAAGCTTTAAAATTAGGGATGAACAAATATCGGTATCAGCCAATGTTAGTAAATTTTTTTAACACATCGGTATCGGCCGATATTAACAACCAATATTTTTTCCATCTTGTTTCCCTTTGATTCTGTTTCAGAGGGTGAGGGGGGTGATGTGTATTTGTTTAGTCATGTGACGGTGATTTTAATCTTCTCAGAAGCATAAATGTGTGTGGTGAGTGTACATAATAATGTAAATTCAGCTTTAATCATTTTCATTTCATACAAAATCTGTAGATTTTAGAAGCATTAATGTCAGGTTATTGGTATCGGCAAATAGCGGTAATCGGCCATCGGTAATCAGTGATATTAATATCCGTATCAGCCCAAAAATTTCATATCAGTGCATCACTATTTAAAATTCTCACAGAATGTTGAGAGGAATGACGAGTCGTTCATGCACATGCACAGAGATGTGGAAAGGCAGCGTTTTTGAAGCTCACCCAACAAACTTTTTAGGTATTAAGCTAGCAGTTAGCCTTTTGGTTTTACTCATCACTAAGGCCTAGGGCTGAATGATTAATTGCAAATGCAATTAAATTCCGATGTGACAAAATATTTTCTAATCACAAAGGCTGCAATTTTACTGGCAGCGAGTGGTAAGCACAATGCTATAATACATTGAAAACCCCATAGGGATGCTAATGCTAATACTGCCAATTACATTACATTCTTACGAATAAGGAACGTGCCAATTTATTACATTTGGAGTCTAATAAAAAGTAAAAACTGCCATTAATCAAATAAGTACAGACAGATATTTTAGTAAAGCTTGAAAACCTTAAGAGACTTAAACTCCACTGAGTTTTGGCTAGCAGCCATGGAAGTAACTAAACTACAGAAGCTCTGCATGGACAAGATGTCAAAAACTCTAAACACAAAAGACACACGTCTTTCCTGCAAATCAATTTTCACAGTTGATGCTAATACCTACTAGGGTTGTCACGGTAACCGGTGTAGCAGTAAACCCCAGTAAAAAAGTTGACCGTAATAATAACCGTCTTGTTTTTTTTTTTTATAAAAATATTATCTCGGTGGCATACCGTGGCTGTGGTATAGGCGCGCTGACCCTTACCAGCCACTGTATCATCTGCTGAAGTTGCCGGCGGCACATGTGCACTTTGTTGTTTACAGCCAAAATTTTCTTGAAGTTAAAGCTGAAATAATGGCCATAGGGGGATACGGCAGCACTCAGGACATTTATTATCCCTCAAAGAAGACAAGTGAAGCATGGGCATTTTTTTGATATTTGAAGAATGCAGAGGGACATTTGATAGAAGACGGCTATCCTGTTTGCAGCACGTGCAGAAAAAGTGTCTGTGAAAGGCAGCAACGCTTCAAATCACATGACACATCTGCGTGACCATCACCCACAACTCTACAGTCAACGCAAGGCAAGCTAACGTTAGCGTTTTAGCTAAAATGCGTGATCCGAGGATTTGGGTTGAGGGAGAATGCAACGAGTCGCTAAAGCAGCCGCAGCGCCGCTACCTGCATATAAACCGTGTCACGGACACCCCCATGTTGAAATGACGCTATGCATTACGGGGCTCCCAGGGGCAGATAAGAGTTGGTCTCTCTCCGAGAATAATTATGAATTTAATAATGATTACTGCCTGATGACATTTTCCCACATCTGCAAAGCTCACTGGAAGGACACAAACCAAGGACAATATTTTCCTGATATAGGGTTTGTTACTGAAGGAAGGGTAAAAAAGTATCTGATTAGAAGGCTACTTGAGTACTGAGTATCATCTGATCTAATATTTTTAAATGATGACATCAAACAGACAAAAAATAAGAAGTTCTGGGCAAATATCGGTATTTTAAAGACTAAAGGGAAAAAATGTTAACAAATAAACAACATAATTACAAAATAGCACATTTTAGGCCAAATTTAGACACAAACTGAGGACAATACTTCCTGACATACAGGGTTTATTTAATTGTGTGAAAATGTAACACATTAAAATACCGCGATAATACCGAAAGCCGTGGTAATTTTGGTCACAATAACCGTGAGGTTAAATTTTCACACCGTGACGACCCTAATACCTACGCTCCTTCAAGCGATGCTCCTGGCTGCAAAGCATTGCACCTTCAAAAACAAAATTTTGTCTTTACTTGTGAGTGTTTATGTTTATGTAGACAAATAAACTTGTTGATATATTTAGATAAATATGTAGGTACATGAACTTGTTTTTATTCAGTACAAGTTACATAGATTTTTTTTTGCTTCCGTTCGTTGAAAAATGAAAAAAGCCCCTTGAGAAAATAATCGTGAATTAAATTGCAATTACAATATTGAAGAAAAAAAATCGCAATTCGATTTTCCTAAATCGTTCAGCCCTACTAAGGCCTCTCCATCTGGTGGTTTTAATATGGGAACGATGCTGGTTTGTAGCACTAACTTGTCACAATATCCACTTTGGTACCAGCGGGTGTTTGTAAAGCCGTCATCTGTGGAACGACTGTCACGGACTAAAACGTTCTCAACTGCAGCATTAAGTCAGTCACTCTACGCTCTCTACTTGGAGATGGTGGGTGTTGGTGCCTTCAGGAAAGGCGGGTTCCATATCAGAAGCTAGCTTCATTGGGAGGAGCAAGGTATGATGACGCACTTAATTTCCATTGAGGCTTTTGCAGGTCCTTAGCTGTGAACTTGCAGCTGAGACAGGAAAATGCACAAATGCAGCCAAAAATGGCTTTTGGAGTGTTTTTCATTAGGAAATAACATCACATGGTAAAAGTGGATTTTGCCTGATAAAGTTCTTTAAATAATGTTAATTCCGGCTACCTCTGCTAAGAAATAAACTCAATGAGTATTGGTGTAAAAGTTCACTGTCAGTAAAACATGCAAATTTAGAAGCTGAATATAAAATATTTTAGCAACAAAACAACCGAGAACAAAGTTCAAGGTTCTATTGTTGTTTGTCAGCTGTTTTCTGTCGTTTGAAACTTTCAAAATAAGGTATTTTAAAGTTTGGTTGGAGTTTTTATTGTAGGTTTTTTCAGTATTTTTCCACAGCATTTCTTATGCAAATTCAGGTCAGCTGATCGTTTGTTTAGTCACAACTGACTTAAACATAAAATAATTTCCCTGGGGGGCGTTAACTTTGACAACTTGTTTTCATGCTATTTTTAATTAAGTGCCTTTTATTTCTTCTGATTTCAATCAGTTTTGTGTTGACAGTCGCCTGAAAGTCAAATTTTATGATTAAAAAGCTGCAAAAGTGTAAGAAAAACACAAAAAAATTTGACAACTTTGCTTGGACTAGACTTAGGCTTGGTTTCTTTAAGGTAACTATATTTTAATGGAACATTAGTGACTATAACACAAAATGAACATTTAAGTCCTTTCTGCCTCTGTCTGTTCTAAAATCTAAAAATACTTAAATGTAAGCAGGTTTTACTGGTTGCACATAAACATGTTTTTCTGTCCCAACCCTTCCCCACATTTCTACAAATCCAAATATATAAATCCGTAGAAAGATACTTTTTATAGAAAATATGCTGATGAGAATAAAATAATCCACAAAGATCTCTTTAAATATTCAGAAAGTGAAAATAGAGCAGCGTTTGATTTGAACAGACAGGAAATGGAGGCCTGTAAATTCTTTAGTGACATGGTGAGGCAGTTTAGATTAGCAGCAACATGAATTTGCAATCTGCGTTAGTGATACTGAAGTACTCCTGCCTTTTTATGACCTCTCCCTGGAAGAATCTCATCTTCAAAAGGGGAAAATTGTCTGTTAATCTGGTGTTTTTGCATTAATTTGGTTCTCATGGATTCATAAAGCATTTTTAATCCACTGTGCTGCTTTTTCTGCATCTAAAATCCTTAGAAATCATCTGGAAAACCCCTACGCAGGTGATTCAGATCCTACAGGTTCCTACACGCACCAGGGTTCACGCTCTGGCTTTTTTCATTCTAGTTATATTATTTTGAGAGTGTGGAGACACTTCTGCTGCTGTTAACAACCTTAGAGGTTAATTTTTAACTGCCTCTCCAACTTACGGTATTTAATATATTACATCTAGACCGGAAGGGGGGGGGGGGGGGGGGGAATAAAGTATGTTTTCTCATCAATGTTCAAACAATACAGCAAATAATGTTCATAGAGATGGAACAATGTATAATTCAGCCCACTGTCTGTGTTTTCTGGTGTGTGTGTGTGTGCGTGCGTGCGTGGTTCGTTTATTAAGTAATACAGTTTTGCTTTCAAGAAACCAAACATTCTTCTTTTATCAAGTTTTCTTTTGGTAATTTCCATGACGTGTTCTCACATTTTATCGATCGCACAACAAGAGCAAGAAACTGATGAAAATGGTGCTTTAAATGTCCTTCAGGAAGTCTGAGAACTGTTGAATATAGCCCTTTAAACAAGTCTGGCTTCTTTGAAGGAAATGAAGAAAACTGGGATGATTATAAATGTCTCCAAGCCAAATAAATAAAATAGAATACAAATGTTTTCCTCTGAAGTTTCAGTGAAGAAACTTTAAAAATGATTAAAATACTTTATAAAAAATCTGATTTTAATCTGAAACATTCAGACTTTTGAAATGCTTATTTAAGGCTCAGTGATAAGTGGTTGATTTGATTTTTTTTGTTGACACTAACAGTAGCAGCGAGAAAGTTGCAGGTTCAATACCCAGGGGCATCCAGTCTGCGTGATTAACCTGTCCTCCTCTTCTTCAGTGGGTCGGTGCTCCCTCCTGCCAGCGAGGAAGCTACGCCTTCTACAAGTCTGTGAGTAGCAGAGCTCACCCGGACGGACCGACCCAGGTCTGGAAGCTCGGGGAGTTCTACTTCATCCGATGTGGACCACAGGATCCCGTGTGCATCGCCGAGGTAAGCGACTCCCAGGACTCGATTCAGATCCAGATGGGTCTGAGGGGTTTCAGGGAACTTCTGTCAAAATTCATTCTGGATGTTGGAAAACAAATGGAGGTCGTTAACGTTTGGTTCTGCAGCTGATTTTGGTGTCGGAATGTGATACGACTAAAAAACAAAGATGTTCAGTTTGAGTTTTTTTAGTGGTCACACGCAGGGCTGGGCGATACGACCTAAAATCAATATATTGAGGATTTCACCGCTTAACGATAAATGGACTAAACAAAAGTTGTCCACTAGATGGGGGTGTTGCATGTATTACGTTGAGTCACATTTTTTATGACTCAAGGCGTGCAGCTTCTTAACTCATTCACTGCCAGCCGTTTCCTGATCACTAACGGCCTTCGCTGCCAGCGTTTCTCACCGTTTTAATGTTTTTTTAAGAGTCACAGAACATTGCGCGCTAGCATGATGTCGACGCCAAAACAAAAGAGGAGACTCACCTCTTACATCAGGAAGAAGCCACGTGTTTCGAGCATTATCCGTTCTTTCATAATCCGTTGTCGAATTGTGATCGGCAGACGCTTTTCCGGTTCGCGCCTCACTTTTTTTTACAGGAACGGCCCAAAACGATCTCCAAACACATGGATGTGTTGCTTCCTGATCATGTGATCTGTGACGTATGCGGATGAAGATCGTCTTCAGGGCTGAGATGTTTGTTCTCTCAGCGCGGGGACTCGTTCCGATGCTCAAACAGTAAAAAAAAAATGCAAATTGGCAGTGAACGGTTGGATCTAAAATGACGACTTTAGTCGTCATTGGCAGTGAATGAGTTAAAGGGACATGAATGTTGCCATCTTTTCATTTTTTTATCATTGCATTTTTATTTCATTGTTATCATTTATTATTTATTGACATGGGAAAATGATCTCTTAAGTCAGAAATTTTGATAACGATAAAATTTCTATTTATTTGCCAGCCCTAGTCACACGTTAAAAATGAAGGTTTAAGAAAGTCTGGATAAACTTTTCACAAGTTCTTTCTGTAGGTTATTCCGCTGATTATAATAATTATAAATTTAATCTCAGAAATGTTTTCAGGCTTAAATGAGTCATGGGCAGCGAACCTCTACCGCATCCATAGTGACCATATTTGAGAGGCATGATCTCAGCATCCCGTTCTAGATAGGAAACATTAGAGGCCGACTGATGTGGTTTTTTTAAGGCTGATGCCAATTTTTAAAGAATTTTGTTGCCAATGGCCGATATCCAAAGCCGATTATTAAGGCCGATATTTAAACGTTTTATCAGCACATTGATTGTGAAAAACAACTGAACACTCACTGTGTGCAATATCAGTTAATTATGTCAATAACTCAATATTTATTGAAGTCATTTGCCGTTAAATACCAGGACATAATCAAGTATTTAGCATTAATTATTTTATATAAATCCATCATCTACTTAAGATTATGCTGATTAAAATAATTTTGTCTCAAGGCCTTAAAATCGCCCATTTTATTTAATTTTGTTTGATTTAGGATTTTTTTTTAATTACCACTAAATAAAATGGTTGGATATAAAAGAAAAAAGGAATAAGTTCCCCAAACAACAAGGAAATACATTAAGACAGATTAATTTCATTTATGTAACAAAATCTTCAGTAAAGTCAAAACATTCAGCATGTTGAGTATGTCCAGATGTTCTGGCCTTCAGAAACCAGACTAGACTGAAAAATAGGGATGGACAATATATCAGCATAGTCATTTTTTAACATATCAGTATCGGTTCGATAAATAAAACTGGGCTGATATTAATAACCAATATTTTTTCCATCTGGCCTCTGTTTGCCTGTTTCAGAGGGTCAGGGGGGTGAAGTGTTTTTGTTTTAGGCCTGGTTCATGCTTCTCCGTCAGCTCCACGAGGGACAGACACGCACGGATTGACGGAAGCGTTTTGCTCTCATACTTCTCCGTCTCCTGGAGAGTGTTGCAAAGCAATTCCCCGGCAGGACAACAGAGGGCGTAGCGCTGTTCTGTGTAGAGCCCTGCACGGGCCTAAAATCTGAGCCCGTGTCCGGCCCGGCCCGAGGGGGTGGAGCCCCAGCCCGACCCGGCCCGAAAAGGTTTTCAGGATTCTTTGGCCCGGCCCGAGCCCAAGCCCGACTTTTTTTAACCAACTAAATGAAAACAAAGTGCGCCAATCCTGACCAGTGTGTTAAAAGATGTGCAGGATCCGAGCGTCGCAGAAGCGCATGCGGGAAGCTTCCCACTGAAGCGAGTGTTTTCCAAACCCTGTCTCTCAGAGAGACTTGTCACTTAGAAAATGTTCCCTGATTATGAAACTTTGGCTGAATAGCGCTTGTTCCTGTCTCCAATGTGCGACACATCCAGGAGCCGTCTGAGGAGAAGCCCAGAATCTCACATCCTCTTCAGCTCATGAGCGCATATGATTACGCACAAGCGTGACCCAACACGGTCTCACAGTAAGACTGGGTTGGAACTGTTCAGGTTTACGCAGACAATCTTCACATAGAATTGACTTACAGATATAAAATTAATTCAGTAAAATATAAAGCATTTTATTTAAATATCCATTCATTATTTTACAAGCACATCGGCAGATGGATGGAAGAGCCGCGGGTTGCCGATCCCTGCTCTAGTTCAAGATATCATTAAAATTCCAAAAGTGCTGAAAAGATTAAAAATGGGGCTTTCCGTGCATATACAATACATTACGGTAGCCACCGGGATTTCCTGTCTTGAGCGCAACGAATCACAACACAGATTCAGAGACGTGCGAGTTTGTCATCCAAAATGCTCCGTTTTATAACTTTTGAATGGTTGATCAGATTCAAATAATTCCAACGGTTCCTAAAAGTACATAAAAGCAGCTTTCCAACGATCTATAGCATGAAGCAATCAGAGTTAGAGAAAATATCGCTACGAGGGGAAATCCTGCTGTACAGCCTGATTGAAACGGAGCGCAGCGCTGCGGTGAAAGCAGATAACCTATAAAATGACATGTTGAGGACGCAAACTCAATACATCTCTTTTATTGTGAGGTAATAATTTCTCCGAGTTTTGCGGTTGCGGGCGGGAGTAGACATGCACGCTGCAGGTGCGGGCAGGAGTAGACATGCACGCTGCAGGTGCGGGCGGGAGTAGACATGCACGCTGCAGGTGCGGGCGGGAGTAGACATGCACGCTGCAGGTGCGGGCAGGAGTAGACATGCACGCTGCAGGTGTGGGCAGGAGTAGACATGCACGCTGCAGGTGTGGGCAGGAGTAGACATGCACGCTGCAGGTGCGGGCAGGAGTAGACATGCACGCTGCAGGTGCGGGCGGGAGTAGACATGCACGCTGCAGGTGTGGGCAGGAGTAGACATGCACGCTGCAGGTGCGGGCAGGAGTAGACATGCACGCTGCAGGTGCGGGCAGGAGTAGACATGCACGCTGCAGGTGCGGGCAGGAGTAGACATGCACGCTGCAGGTGCGGGCGGGAGTGTAACACACACGTTGCGGTTGCAGGCTGTAATGGTCAGAAATTCAGCGGGAGCGGAGCGGGATGAAGAAAACAGTCCCGCACAGGGCTCTACTGCTGCGTTTAAGTGTTTTAATTTTTTTAATGATTTCGAATAAAAATAAAGGCGCCCGGCCCGGCCCGTGTCCGAGGTAATTACACAGTCGTTGGCCCGAAGCCCGGCCCGATGGCCGTCGGGCCGGGCCGACCCGAGGGCCTAGGGCTTCAGTGCAGGGCTCTAGTTCTGTGGTATCCTGTCATGTATCGGTCCAAGATAATGTGTTTATATTGTGTTTTTTGTATATAAGAGACTTTTTAACACAGGCAAATTTGTCTCTCATCCTCCACCACCTCTTCATGCGCTCGCCACCTCTAAACCCACGTTTCCTGTCATTTCCACCCACAAATAAAACGCTTGCTGCGCATCTTTTCTCTCCTCCAGTCACGGGAGAATTAAACGTTCATGTTTTTAGAGTTTTATTGCGAGGTATTCTTCAAGCTTCTCCGTGTCTGCCACTAGTTATCCTCGGCTCTCTTTATGTTTTTGAGGGCGCAATGGCGGCGGTGTAGACGACAGCGGTGCCCTGACCAATCACATTTGCCGTTTAGTCATTTGTTTAAGTTAGTTAAAGTAACTAAAAAAAGTAAAAAAAAATAAATAAATAACAAAGCCAAAGGTTCAAACAGCTTTTTATAAGGTTTTGAAAGTGCTTGAATTTGTAAAAAAGTTCTTAAAACTGTAACTGAAGTTTGTTTCAACACAATAATGATTACAAGGAAGTGGAAGAAGGGTATTCTTCCCATAAATGGACTAGTCATAAATCCCCAATGAAATGGGCTGGAAAACCTTAAACTCGCCTTGGAAATGCTTTAAAGGTACTTGAATTTGTGCAGAGGATGTCCCAAAAAGGCTGGAATATATGTTGACCTACAGCGTCGTCTCACACAGACGCAGAAATACAGCTGCTACATTCACTCATTTTATAATTTAGCATCATTTGACGTTAGCCTCTGAGTTACTTGAGTCGACAAAAAGCTTCTATAGGAGATTTGTGAAGTTTTTCTGTCTCCGCTGCTTCACAAAGATCAGATTTTAGGATTTAAATAAAATTTGAATAGATTATAAATTTCCAGTAGACCTCCAACAGCCAACCCAGGTGTCCCAGCTTAAAACCAGACAGCAAGCTTCGTGTAGAAGCAGCTCTGATAACGTCTGACCTTAATCAGCGTTTAAGCCCACCAGCTTTTATCAAGTCATATTTTTGTGTCTCTTTTGGTTTTTCAGTTTTTATTTTTGTCGAAAATAAAATAGGTTTTTTTCCCCCCTTGGAGTCAGACTGGTTATTTTCCGTCTGTTCGTGAGATTATCTCCCTAAACCTCACTGAAAATAAGTAAAAACTAGTCTGCAGGGCGATAAACACCATTACCTTAAGTCATTATAATTTTAATATGGTTTACATGATTTTTTTACCCCAGATTATTGGAAAATGCAAAAACAAAAGTTGTTTACCCAGAGTAAAGTTACAGGTGATAAAACCCTTCATCCCTGCTTTACAGGTGACTCTATTATGGGAAGATCAGACACGGCACCACCTGCTGGCTAGCGCCAGACTCTACTTCCTGCCTGAGGACACGCCAAAGGGCCGGACCAGAGAACACGGAGAGGTAGGCCAGAATCAGGGTCAGGTCCTGACCCTAAAAACAAAACATTTAATTAGAATTAGAAACCTGTATATTTGTGACTCTTCAGTTCAAAGGTTAAAATGTGATCAAATGCATTCTTGCTGCTGTTTAATTCCTGTAGTGCAGTGCTGAGTAAAGGTGTTTTATTATTATAGCCAGTGTGACTCTTTTAAGTATGTCTAATAATATCCGTGTCCTTCGAACACCAAATTCTTTTTTTAACCAAACGTCTCTGAGCAGGAATCCCAACGAGTTACTTCCACACGACGTTTCCTCCTGTCTGTCTGACGTTGTTTTGTGTTTAACTTCCAGCTGAACTGCTTATTCTAACACATTTACTATCATTTTATTTCATATCTGTCACCATGTTTGGGATAGAGGGTTCAGAGGAATTAATAACGAGTCAGACCAACGACCCAAACTTATGACTTGTTTAAAACCATCTTTTCAGAAACGTTTGCCTGTTTTTTCTCAGATGGAGAAGACTTTATTTTTAGTTTTGTTTTTTAAAAGCTTTTTTCCTTCCTACCTTTTGTTGTTTTAAAATAATAAACAGAAACATTCATTCTGATTTAATCATTCTTAACTCATTCACTGCCCGCCTTTCCTGATCTGTAAAGCCCTTCGCTGCCAGCGTTTTTCAGCGTTTTTACCGTTTTTTTAAGAGTCACAGAACGTTGCGCGCTAGGATGATGTTGACGCCAAAACAACCAAAACAAAGCAGAGAGTCACCTCCTATATCAGGAAGAATCTGCGCATTTAGAGCGTTATCCGACGCGTTCTCTCATAATCCGTTGTTGAATTTTGATCGGCAGATGCTTTCCCGGTTCGCGCTTCACTTTTTTTTTTTACAGCAGCGGCCCAAACCGATCTCCTAACACATGGATGTTCTGCTTCCTGATTACGTGACGTGTGATGTATGCGGATGAAGATCGGCTTTAGAGCTGAGATGTTTGTTCTCACGGTGCGGGGGCTCATCCGACGCCCACACAGTAAAAAGATGTAAATTAGTCGTCATTGGCAGTTAATGAGTTAAAGGTAGTCTTTATATTCCATTTAACCAGAAGAATTCCTCTTTGTTTTAATGACAAATAATGTGATTATTTGGACATTTGTGGCTTTTTTTGATTGAAAATAAAAATAAAATATTCTAGAAGGCAGGGCAATATGGCCGACAGGCAATATCACGGTCTATTCAGGAGTTGACCACTAACGATTAACAAACTACATGCATGTGCAAAATCAAAAGTTATCCACTAGAGGGAGCTGATATTACATTGAGTCATGTTGTCGTGACTTGAGGTGGTACAGCTTCTTAATGGGCTCGACACACGGGAGGCGACATCGCCTCTCCTCCATTCATTTTCAGTGAGACAGGTCTCCCTCCTACTAAGCGAAACGCGAAAAACGTGCGTGTGAAATTTTGCGCTCGTGCACGTGTCGTGCATAGGCAACCCAACGACGCGATCCCAGAAAGTTGAAATATTTTCAACTTTTTATCGCTGTCGCTCGGACGAGGACCAATCAACGGAGGTTTCATTCACTGACCAATGAGCGGACGGAATGCTCCGTACACCTCCGAGCAAACATGGAGGAGAAGTTGGTTATTATTATGTTTTATAGTAAAATCAGAAGTAAGATTTCACATAACTCTAGCAGCACCTTGTGAAACATCATATCTACCACTTTATTAACTCTGAACCGCTTAAATAACCTTAATTCCCTCCAACCTGACACAGCCAAACAAAACAACGGAAGTTTCGATTTCGCCATGGAACAGAACGCGTCGACCTGCTTTCCCTCTGCCGCGGATCGCCTCCCTCCAAATTTATTGACATGGGAAAAATTTCAACAGTTTGTGAGAGATTTCGATAATGATACATTTTCAATTCATTGCCCAGCCCTATTTTCTAGTTAAAATAAAATCCATACATAATTGTTCGATTTAGATAAAACTCTGGATTTTCCTGTTGAGGGTAAATGAGGGGAACTGGTTTTTATTTTGTCAAAAACAAAAGAGGAACAGGTGGAACAGGACAGACTCGCTGCAGTCAGTCAGTTTTAGGCTTTGTATGAAACTAAGTTTAGGATTAAAATGACCAATGTGATGTCATCGAACCAGACATGGAGAAAAGCAGAAGGAAGTGACTGTAAGTTTGGTGAACTTCAAATCCTTCCTTCAGAAGGGAAGAACCACAGTAAATATGCCCATGTGGTAAGTAGCAGCTACGCTAGGGGAGAAGAGATCCTGGTGACGTCATATAGGCAATGTGCCGATGTCTGATTTGTAGTCATGCTAATTATGAACTTTTACAAGCTTATAATCTCGTGACAGGCGTGGTCGAAACACCCATCATTAGTTTTCATTTAAATTGCAGTACAGCATATGTGTGATCCAGGGCGTAAGGCAAAGCGGGTTAGAAAATAGCTCTTTTAGTCCCGTTGGCTTGCATCAATTTTTCCGTTCTTCCGGGGACCCGTGAGCCGACCGGAAGAGGAGGAGACTTGGGCTCCCTGTTGCAATAACTTTGAAAGTTGTGTGACTAATAAGTGAAGATTTAGCTCCAGTAGAGGGGGTGGAGGTGACCTTTCACCTATTGGACGTTATTTTGCATTTCTGAGTAACTTGACAGAAGCGTTACTGTGTCTAAAGTTATGATTATGTCATGTAGCAAAAAACCTAGGTGTAAGCAGGAGGAGTGTAATTTACCTCCTGCGGTTCGTAAAACACCAATGGATCGACCAGAGGGCAGGAGTGCAGCACGACTAGCAGTACTGTTGAAGTCATCTGTTTTATAATTCCTGTATTTTTCATATCACAATATAGATGATTTGTTATGACTTTAGTGGTAACTGATCTGCTGTTTGTGTGTTTGGAGGTTCCTGTTTGCTTAAAGAGACTCGAGCAGGAAGTTGATGTAGGTTGGTTGTTCAGAGTGCTCGGTTTCACGTGAACTACTTTGTTTGGGCTTGCGGGTCCCGGCCCGTGACGAGAACCACAACAGAAGTTTTACGGAGTCAATTTTTAAAAAAATCACTTTGTGTTTTGAGGATACATTAATTTGTTCAGAGAGCTTGAGATGATTCTGCTACAGAGCATGAATAAATCTTGCTTTGGTTTTAGTTCATCATAAATATAAGCCTTTGTTCACGTTACGGCTGTATTATTCCACACAGACATGCTAGGGTTGGGCATCGTTTGATTTTGAACGATTCCGATTCCAATTCCTTGTTTCGATTCCGGTTCCTATCGATTCCCGATTCCGATTCTTTGAAGGCATGGCATGTTTTACATGAGCCAGCTAACCACAGGTCCTACTTGATGAAATAATCTTAACTCCAACATGAATTTTAACTCTATGAACAACAACATCACCTTCATTTAGACAAAAACGTGTTTTGGAGAAAAAAGAAAAAGACTTGCAGCACAACCAGTGTGTTTGTTTCTGACCACAACCAAAGTCTGGAAGAAGCCTCTGGGATGAGAGGCTAAATGTCTCCAACACATCCAGACACGTCCAGCTGTTTTCAGCTAAAACTCTCAGGATGATCATGTCCAGGATGACTGAGAACTACACCTCCATGCTGCAGCAGCACTCAGTCAGAACAGAAAGTGAAACTGAAATGTAGCTGCTGTCAGTAACAATCTAACAGATTTTAAACATTAAAACTCTCAACAGAAATAGTTCAGAAAGGAAATTAAAATGTTCACAACTTTGTGTGTGATTTATTATTATTATTATTGTAATTGTTTATTGTGGCAGAAGCTGGTGTGTTCCACCACAGAGAAGTTGCTCTAGCATGATGACTTTAAATATTCTACAGGTTATTGTTCAGCCTTCTGACGCTCACACACACACACACACACACACACACGGGTGTTGGTGAGCGGCTGCGTCTGACTGCTGACGCTCCGTGTGTGTTTTTATTTCTGCAGTGAGACAAACTCGCCTCTCACCGTCCAGAGTTTGTTCTTTAAAGCTTCTATTAAAATCACCGTGTTGACGCATTTAACACGTTTCCTCTACGCTGCAGGAGTTAAAGTTTACGTTACGGAGTAAAAGTTCGGCAGACACGTTTGTTTATATCTGGCCGCTGCGTGGGGGGGGGGGGGGGGGGTCGTCGGTGCTGCACATGGACAACTGGTGTGATCAGCTCTGAAAAGCGTTGATCACAATTTGCAGATCACGTTTATTTTTCACGGACATCGGCCGTGGATTCCTCTTCTGTCGGCATTCTAGGAATCGAAATAAAAAACTTTGAACGATTCCGGAAAAAACGAACAGTTGGAACCGGTTCCAATCGATGCTCGATGCCCAATCCTACAGATGTCAGGCATCGGGGGCTAGGAGTTGGGGGTGGAGACTTGAGCAGGAGGAGACGGCAGCAGCTCCACCTTCTCTGTAAACCCATTAAAACGCTCCTCCTCGTTCTTCCAGCATCTCTTAAAATCTGTTTTAGTTTCTGCCGTCACCCAACCGTTTCACCTACATTTTGTCCTGGCTGACTTTCACTTCCTGCTTTAGTAGTCTAGATGCTGCAGCAGCTGATTCCTCCTGCTGCTGCAGTGTAGATCAATCAGCTGTGTTTGTATCCACCACCACCTCACATACCAGCCTGATGCTGCAGTTTCTACCACGTCAGGACCAAAAGAGTTTCTTCAGCAAGACAGCTGCACACATCAAGATCATTTATAGCATTCCTGGTTGCAACAGGAACATCGGAGACTCTGTTTCTGAGCAGGAACTTTTCTGATAAATTAATCATAAAACTAAGTTAGAAGTATTTGAGTTATGAATATTAAGACATTGCAAGTTCCCAGCTTTAAGTTCTCAGAAATTTTATTTATTTGAAAATATGAAGTTTAGAAAACAGATAAATAAACCTACAGATAAATACCAGATCAGCTCTGCAAAAAACATATGATCTGTGGTTGTTTTAGTTAAATATTCTGCTGCATCCAACAAATATTAAGATGAGGT